GCCATCCGAGTAGACCCACGCTTCTCAAAATTCTTTCTAATCCTGTCATTGTGTTTGGGGAGCCATTATTACGTCCTCCGACCGGATGCAGAGTAACATCCGGTCGCAGACAAAAAAATGCCTGTACCGAGGTGTACCGAGTTATTCAAAAAACTCGGTACACCTCGGTACAGGCATTTTTTTTACCTGCGACCGGATGTTTCTTGCATCCGATCAACCGAAGCAAATAAAAGCGCGTGTTTGGGGCAGCCAACAAAATTCTTTCTGCATTCAAATACATATGATATATAATATATAAGATTTTTTAGCTTAAGTAAAAAAGAATTAATCATTTTACATAAAAATTAAAACTCAAAAATACCTCAAACTCTCTAAACCACATCTCTCGGACTTCTTTCGGGACTTTCTTCCAAGAAACATAAGGAGCGTCAAACCTACTCCGTATGATATTCCGTATTTTATGTGTCGGTTGTTTTGATGGGTAGAACCTATAAAAAAAAATTTATGTGAAACAAATATATAATATAAATATTCATTAGCTTAAATAAAAGATGAAGTACGTACGTGTCACCCTCAGGTGCTATCAATATTCTACCATTTGTCGCCTGCTCTGGTCCAGCTGGTGTCGAAGGTCCAGCTGCTATCGAAGGTCCAGTTGAAGAAGGCTGATGGGGTGGTGGGGGATAGTATGGTGGAGCATATGGTGGAAATGGATAAGTAGGAGGGGCATCAGCATAAGGTGGGGGTGCGTAGTATGGGTAGAAAGGAGTACTCTGCCCAGGATCTGGTGAAGGAAATCGGGGGTCTGTTGAGTAGAACTGCGGGCTATTGGCTCCAGAAGTGGATAAAGACTTTGTAGCAGGCTGAGGCTGTGTAGCAGGCTGAGACTGTGTAGCACCCTCAGTATGTACTGTCCTAGCTGGTCCAATTGTAGTGATCTTCTTGGTGCACCTGTTAAAAATATTTTTTTATCAATCATCTACTAGGCTCTTCACCTGAAGCCATCTGCACATAAATAAATAATAAATATTAATTGCAGGGAAGTAACAATAAAATAAATGCAGTGAAGTAAAATACAGGAGAGTAAAAAAAATGCAGTGCAGTAACAATAAAATAAATGCAGTGAGTAAAAAATTTTTTAATTTACCTTATATTAACTAATCATTTGTTGATTCACTTTCATAAGATGATACACTTTTAGCCAAAATAGATTCATCATTACTTTCCTCTATGGTTAGATCTACCTCCTCTAACTGCAACCCGCTCTCATTAATTCTGATTTGGTCATCTATATTAATTGAGAGATTTTTTAAATTTGACATAAACTCTTCTTGATGTGCTGATGATATTGAAGTGGTTTTCTCAATTACTCCCCTTGGTTTTGTCTTCATAACTATCAGCCAATCCTATTTGCCTCATATTCTACTTGGATAGTTAGCATAATAGACTTGAGTTGTCTGACTAGCAATTATGAATGAATCAAACTTTACATATTTTCTACCCCGCTTTACTTCTGTTATACCGTAAATTGGATGTACTCTTGTGCCTCTATTTTGTACTAGATCAAACCCACAATTGAAGAGATACATAATATTCCTGTGACTGGGATATTCCACCTCTAATATTTCTTGTAAAACCCCGTAGTATTCAGAATCATCCCC